TTATTGAAAAAATTCTGAATTCTGACAACCTTTTCCATGGTTTTGACAGATATATACATTTATGTATTGGTTTTGTTATAAGGAACGTTAGGAAAAATAACATTAGTAAATCTGACATATCCACCTACCATGTGGTGTTAATATCGTTGTTTTGATTTTGCTCTCAGAAAAGCGTTTCGGTGAAATTTTATTAATACCAAATGATTTATTTAGTAGCTTCACAGTACAAATAAAAGTCGGTCTAATAGGTCCGAAAATGGAAATTCGACTTTTATAAATTCTAATCTTTACATTCGGTCATTACAATTTTTTCAACTGCTTTCGAAAAGCATGACGTAGGTATATTGAATGTGTAATAAGATTTTAGGATTTTTTGAAAAATGTTTATGGAATGAAATTTGTTTTAATGACTACTGAAACTGTAAAATATCTGTTCCCATTATTTTTCTTTTCTTTTTTATTTACTTATCATACTGTGAAGTTGGTCGTGTGGACCTCAAGCATCTCACTGGGTCAGGTGACTTTAAAAACTTTGTACACGAAAGGGTATAAAACTAATTTTTTTATGACAACATAAAAATTACAATTTTCGATTGTAAATGACTAAATTTACCGTAGAAATAGTATAAATTATTAAGTAAGTTGTAATAATCTCAATTTTGACATGTTTCTTAAAAAATTCTTTCAAATTTCAAAATTATTACAATTAATTTGTAATGTCAATTAAAGTAAATTTATTTCTGCTGAGATTCTATTTTTACAAATTCGGGTCCAAATGAAATTTTTATTATTTTCGCTTACGAAGCAACGGGCTAGTGGGATAAATTGTAAATCTCTTTAACATTTACGTAAATTTTCGTTTTTAATTTTCTCCGTGTACTACGTGAGGTCTACTCACAAACAAAATATTCCCCATACAAACGTAGCAACCCGATTTCACACCCTTTGGATTGATTTTTAATAATTACCAAAATACGTTTTCGTTTCATTGTATCAATGAGTATTATGACCAAGTAAATCTGACCACAAACAAAAATGTCTCATACGAACTTTGCCACTGTTTCTTTTCATCCCCTTAAGGTTTGAATTTCGAAGTATCTTTCCTTATTTTTTATATGCATCAGAAAGGAAACATCTACGCAAAATTTCAGCTACCTAAGTCCAAGAGTTAGTCTGAGCGTTGTTGAGTTAGGGATTAATTATACCTATGTAAGCCAGGACTTTTCTTTTTATACAAAGTGTACCAATAAAAATTCCCACTTGAAAAATACCGGAATTAACAGAAAATCACAAACACGTCCATTTTCTTTTTAAGAGGACACACGATGGCGTAATTTCGAGTTGTAACTTGAAATTTCAACTTGTAATTCGTAAGTGCTTATCGAATCCCGGCCTAACGTAACCTAACTCAATCCCAGCTTAAGCTAAGACAGTTACAAGAAAGTTCAAGAGTACTACAAGACTAATTTCGTTGGTGTTGTTTTTACCTACTGTAACCTTACTACCTTACCTTACCTCACCGCTACTTTTTAATCTATACACGAAGACGCCATCAACATCATTAAAGACAGTACAACTGTAGGGATAGACGTGCAAGGGCAAAAGATTAATATGCTTAGATTTGCAGATGATATAGCAGTATTAGCATCTAGCAAGGAGGACCTAGAGATAGCTTTAAATAAAATGGAAGC